TGCGATTATTTTAGTTAGTATGGTTGTAGGTAGCTTAATGCTGCTGCGTTTCGTATGGTGAGTGTAGAGAACCGGATACCCTTTTTACTGGAAATGAGACATTCCATCTTAGTCCTCACAGGTGACAACGCATCTGCAGTTTGATTCGTATATATTATTCGTATAGATGTAGATGTCTATGGGTCACAGCAACCACTTACCATCAGGTGGACTGTGTGCTCTTTTGTCACCCTATCCTATAAAAAAATGAAACCTAATATAATATAACCTAATATAATAATAAACCAAATATTTCAATCATTCATTAAGTCCGCCAACATGCATTGGGGCAACGGAGCTACAACCTTAAGTAATTAATAGAGAGCTGTCCCAAGCAGTAGGTTGTATCGTTACTTACTAATACAACGGTAATAGGAAGTGTTCAATAAAAATGCGTGTCGTTTTTTGATTGGTACATTTAATTAAAAAAACCATGTTTATGTTTGAATAACGGTTAATAATAATGTTCATGTTATAATAAACGGTCTTATGAATTTGCGACCGAAAAATATTTGCGCCTTGGCTGAGACGTACGAAATACTTTATTATTAAATTTTTAAGTATAAAACATCCGCATTCTAATATAAAGCTTAATTAAAAATTGTTTTGGGAAACATGGACAAGGTGGAGAAAAGAAATATCTTTTACTTGGATAAAAGAGGTATCTATAACCAAGTAAAAGATATTTTACAATTTATTTGTTTGGTTTTATTATTATTACGGATTTATTATTTCTTTATTTCTATTGTATTATTTATTTCCTCCATTTTTTTATATATTCCACAAAATCATCACTGCGGCACTCACGACTGTCTGCCGAGCGCATGCCGAGATCGAGGCGCGTAGGCATAGCTCTCGCTTCGTCCGTTTCTATGAAGTTGGAATACTGTATAGATAAAATTACCGTGCTAATACTGGCCATTCCATAATATAATCGGATACTATCAACGACGCGGATGGCCAGAAGTATACCTACGCGCAAACACAGGCACTCACTTGTTTATACCTACCCGTGCCCAATTTAACGCTTATGCATTTAGGTCGGAGGTAAGCTAAGAAGCAGTGTAATAGACCAAGGGATAAACGCACGAATGCTGGCTTCGATTGAGGATTAAAACATCGACATTTCCAGGTTGGCATGACTTGACATGCCAGTGTCATGGTAACCAGGTATTTCCTAGACCTATATAGTCTACTATCCAATACCGCGCTGTTAGTTGTAACATGACGTTTATACTAATAAAAATACGTAATACTGCTGTTTCGTATGGTGAGTGTAGAGATCCGGAGAACCTTGTTTACTGGAAACGAGGCGCATTCCATCTTAGTCCTCAGAGGTGACAACGCATCTGCATTTTGATTCTTAATCGAGGATGGATGCAGATGTCATGTGCCACAGCATTCACTTACCATCTGGACTGTGCTCGTTTGTCATCCCTATTCTATAAAAAAAAATCAGATGTAATTGCAATCCATTTGATGGTAAGATCTGCAAGGCAACTATAGCTAATTTTAACCAGATAATCGTTACAGAAGCGTTATCGTACGATGATTAAGAATATATATTATTGTACTGGTTCACTAACTTTCCCAATCACATCCCTGTAATAAGTACACAGTGACTTACCGCCAGAAATATCACCTAGTAAACTTTACTATAACAACTTTTATTTGTCGCGAAATGTCGGCGTCAGTCGACTGTGGGAAATGCCAGTAATATTTAGTAGCCTCCGACAAATAGCAGCACAACCATTACGTATATACATAAACACTCATGCCTGTCACCCAGAGGGGTAGGCAGAGACTACAGACTTCCATTTGGCACGATCCTGACACACCTCTCTCGCCTCCTTCACATCCTATACCTACGCATACATGCTCTGGAAATAGAGTAAATGGGGCCATACACTCTATTGTGAAGAGTCAAAATGTGTCGAAAAAGGCACGTATGGCAATTCACAATGCTGTGTTGGTCCCTACTTTAACGTACGGTAGTGAAAGTTGGGTGTGGCAGAAGAAGCACGAGGTTAGAAAGAACGCACGTTAAGGAGTATGTTAGGGCTGAATCTGAATGACAGGGTGAGAAATTGTATGATAATAGAAGAGTGTGGTTTGCAAGATGATGTGACCAGGATTAAGAAAGGAATGCTTCGGTGGTTTGCTCATGTGTAAAGAATGAATAAGGTAAGAGTGACAAAACAGAATAGAAAATTAATATTGCAGAAGTGAATGGCAAAGTCGGAAAGGGACGTCCTAGGCGAAAATTTATCGACCAGATTGGCGATTTATTGAAATCGGACCAAATTAGGAGTACGCTTATCCGAAGAGCATTACGTGTGTGTATGTCATACATAAAATACCTAAGCCACCTGTTATGCAACTGAATCTGATACCGCCATTACAAACCCACTTGTAAAGCGTGACGATTACGGCAAATTGTTTCTAAGAAAAGACTAGCCAAACAGTGAAGAAGAGCATTCGAGCTCATACAAAAGTCAATACTTCTTATAAGAGTACTATTACAATGCAATGTCAATTTGTAAGTGGAACGGTTTTAAATCAAACACACACAGGGAATATTATTAAAAATCAAACTTCCAATCACACATACACAAACACACACATACTCGTAGACAGTTTTACTGTCTGGTAGCTACTTTGCTCCGGTGAGTGGTTGTAAAAGTTCTAAAGTAAAATTTAGAAGTCCATTCTCTACGTTGTAAATCTTAGCAATTCAATTAATGGTCGACACTAATGAAAGAGACTTAGATTTATAGATTATATAAAGCTACTTTAAGCAAAAGTGACTTTCGATCGCTGTAAGAAAGTGGCTCTTGAATAGTGATGTCAATATTAAACGTTTCATTATGTAACTTGTTTGTTAATCCCAATTAAAAAGCATTTACGTAGGTTAATTGGAGACTCAATTGTGTTTAACACCCTCCTAAATACTAAGCTGACGTAGAATGCCATTTTGTATTCTGTTATTATTAATTTATACATAGGCTTTAATTTGGAAGGTAAAACTTGAAAGGTTTGAGCGTATCCATTCGCATTGATGAATGCAGAGTCAACAACCTCGCAATGGCATCCTGTTCCCTATCACTAGTTTGTGGTATTACTTTGATTCGGCATTTTCGAATCTTATACCGCCATGTGCCAGTCGCTAGTAGGCTCATAGTTTGATTTATAGGCGATGTTTGCCATAGGTGCTATGTTTGGCAGGCGATTTAGCTACCGCAGTTTCTTACTAGTTTCAGTTTTTTTCGGAAATATGCTGTTGCCCATCTCCTCTTTCATTTCCCTTTGTCGTCTCTTAGGTCTCTCATGGGATGATTTGGTTTATATGTTCTGAAAATTAATTTTACAGAGTGTGTCGCTTTTATTTTTAGGGCTAGGTATCTTACAGAATACCATCATGAAATAGCAACTTATAGCTTTTAAAAATAGCATTTTACGCTGGTGAGTGTAAGGCGTCCTAGGCCTTTTTACTGGAAACGAGGCATTCTATCTTAGTTCTCAGGGCTGACAGCGTATCTACATTTTGATTTTTAATCTAGGATAGATCTAGGTGTCTACGGGCCCCAATTTTCAATTACCATCAGGTGGACTATATAACCGTTTGTCACCCTCATTCTATAAAAATGTACTTCCATCTATCCAAAAAAAGCTTTTATTAACCAGTGACTTTGAAATACTGAAAACTAAAAATAAAATCATTAATAACAGGAATCGAACAACTTGCATGGAGACGCGTGGGTGCTAGCTTTGCATTATATTTGTTATATAATGATATTAGGTTAATCTATAGAAATTTGTTAGTTACTAATACAGTGCAATAGCCTTTTAATTGTTTGTGGAGAAGGTAAACACCCACGTCTGCTGTGGATGTTGTTTGGCAACTGATTTAGGATTGTTGCAAAATGTTGTAATGTTACGCCGCATGCCGGATCAACGTCAATCAGAATTGTTCCAGATGTACGTGGGTGCGGTTTGCATTAAAACTGTGATTTCGCTTTTGATTTGTATGATTTGGGATGTTTTACTTTTCCATACCGTACAATGTTTGGTGTTTTTTACCCTTACAGCCTAAAGTCAAGCTCAAACATCCTCCCACATAGATTGTCTTATAACATGCATATTTGCCACATTTACCATGTTTTTTTTTTCAGATTTTTAAAGGGCAGATTTTTATTTTCTAATTGTTATTAGGGAGACACTGTTGTCAACCTCCTGATTTGTTTCTCTCTGTCACCTTTTGCGAGACCCACGGGACGATTTTGGGGTAGTGGATATTCATACGCTACTGCTACACGGATATATATACCTATAAATTTTATTAAACCTGCTACGTTTTAAGAATCGTGATAGAATAGGGAATAAACTTGCGCCTAAAAATATTATAACATGCGAGCAAACTAAATTTTATCCGTGTAAGCATTAACGATATTGTTCGGTATTTGAAATTTTAATTGCTGATATCATGTGATTGTTGATTGGCTCTGAAGGAAAACATCGCAAGAAAACGTCATGTAGGACTAGAAAATTATTATGCTTTTTAAAAATTTCAAGTATAAAATATTCTTAAATGTATTTTGAATGTCTCTCTATTTTAAAACGCCTGCGGTAGCGACATAAGAGTCTATGATCATCTTAGTATCATCTTTCCGGCGACTTCATTATATAAAACAATAGAAATGGCGTGTACATATTTAAAAAAAATGTGTAACAATGTCTGCCAGATGTCACTACTTAATATTCTAAACATTTATGATGAATAACTTGGAGCCCACAAATGTAATCCCGCAAAGAATGCAACAATCGAATTGAATAGCTGAAAGCGTACCGAAGAACGCAAACATCCGTTGAATGAGCTAGTAAATAGCAAACTGCATCGCACGCTGCGAATGGCAACGCATTTCTTCTTGAATTTCTATCTACATTAGGAGTTGATTTATCAGACTATTAAAGGGGAGTGCGAACTCAATTTGAGAACCGCGAAAACACCGCTGATATTCCGAGAAAGGCAACGGATCGAGTACGTGAAAAATAGCACATTACGTGCGCCCAATAAGCACGCCGAGTAATAGAAAGTGCATCTAGATCTTTGTAATGCCCTTTGCAATAATTTGTTGGTCGGATTCAACGCCTGGCGGCTGCTAGGTGCTAGCATTAGCTCCATGCATGTGTAAGCGATATGAGGCGGGATAAATTTATTTTACATAAATAACTACTTTAATTTTAAATTAATGGAAGAGCGTTGCTCCCTGATACAGGCTTATTAGTTTAAAAGGGCTCTACGGTCAGTAATATAATATAATGTACCCATTGTTTTGAAATAAATATTTATTATTATTATTTAAAAAAAAACACGTGACAATATAGAACATATTTATGAACTATAAAAATATTGTAGGTAGTGAACAACCTGTTGTACTGAAGTAACGGAACATAATTTGAAGAAACCGACTGGTTTACTTTAATTTTTTTCGAAAAAATGACTAATTAAAAACTGCATAAATTCAATTACTCTGAATTTTCAGCAACGACACCATTTTTTTTTTTCATATAGGAGAGGGTGACAAACTAGCTAAACTTTTATAAAATAAATAGCCAAGCTAATGGTTCACAGAAGTATCGGATAAGATTTTTTTATTTCATAATTATATTATGAGTTATTAGATGAAAACCCGCATAAAATATAATCTTTGAACTCAAATCCACAGTTATCATCAAGTGTGATATGCGATTTTCAACTCAAAACTCTGGGTAGATAAATATAGAGATTACCACTATAATGATGACGGAGATTAGTACTTAAGAAGCAATTTTAGACAACAAGCCCGAAAATTCGTCTTAAATGTTTGTTTGCAGGTAGGTTGTCTTAATTTTTCAGGCAGGTCATTCCATAGGCGCAAGGCTTGTGACAGCAATACCTCGGCAAAGGGGATTGGGAAAAAGAAAATAAGTCGTATAAATTTTTTAATGAAGTCTAAATAATTTTAAATTGGTTATATCAGTAAACACATTAATTTGTATCGACATCTGCGGCCTGTGGGCTTCTCGCTTTCGTTAAAAGCGCTGTAGGTGTGGAGCCCGTAAGCTGTGTTGATTCTCGGCACAGTCGGCTCGCTCGCCGCCGGTGTACCTCGCCAGTTTGAAAACAACCATTAAATTCATAAGTTACAGAAAATAAAAAAAAATCAGTTATTACATACAATGACATATTTATCTAATCGTACGAGTAGACACGAAACTGACTTATTCTTTTCAAATAAACTTTGTTATTTTTCAATCCAGCGTACCTCCGATCTATTGTAGTAGCGTTATCTAAAATGACATTTTAACAGATGTTTTCTTTATATATATAAAAGTTTGTTGCTATGGTCTGAACTTGAAAATTGTCGATTAATAATTGCATAGATATAAATTTCAAAGTATTTTAATTGATTACTTTATCGGTGGAAATCAACATTTATGGTTACAGGTAAGTAAGTTGTGCGTATATCTGACACTAAGTGAAAGTTCAGAACATCTTATTCTTAAAAAATTTTGAGCTTAAATAAGGTGTTGACTCCTCGGGCGCTCACTGAACCTCGCGTGATCGGTCAAATGTTCGGTCAATAAATGTGCGCGCTCTCGTTTCTTCCACTAAATTTTTCTACGTTTTAAAATACTTTGTTTGACCGAGTTTCAACAAACATCTTTTGTTCTGAGTAACTGTAGATAATACTTAGTTTCTTAAAAGTTAAAATAACAAATATGGTGTATTGTAAAATTAATGTATTTTACTACCCGGTGGCATTGTAGTCAAACACTGTCTCATTGTAACTTAACAAGCTTGATATAACTCAAACAATAAAACAAAGAGGCTTTTTACGACGCTATATGTTAAGAAAGAAAGTGAGTGAGTACCTATAGAACCTGAAACCTACCTCGTATTTACTAAACGTATCTAAAAGTCTAGTATGTTAATTTCCTATCATAAACTTTTAAAGGTAACGATCCAGACCACATGTTTAATATTATAAACCCGATCACAAGCAATGAATCCGAAATCTACATGTCAGATATGTTGTATGTTTTTATTGTACATTTAAAGACCATTCCGATGTTAATGTAACTTTAGCCGATTTACTTTCTACAAAGCGTTAAGGTGCTCAATAATTTCTTTTAACTTAAGTCGCGTGTCGTGCAGTGCTGGAAAATGTCAGGAAACCCAATACTGTCGTAACACAATACCGAGATTATTGGGTGCCACCGAGTGCAGTATCCTATCGAGAGACTAAAAAATAAAGCCAAGACTCGTGTATAGCGAAGGGGCCGTATCGGTTTTCAAGTAGTTACCTTAAAGGAGTCTTAAGTCAACTTACGAGTACAACGCTTTTATTTTAACTAGATATAGGTATAGTGAAGATAAGAAAGTTTAATTCCAATGCTGTATTATTTAATTAAGATAAAGCTATTTATGAATTTATCTCATTTTGTGGTTAAAGAAAATTAGTAACTATGTTTTCATAAAACATTGCAAATCTAATAAATTCGTAATTACAGTAGTAATTAAATGTAAGTTCATTATCTGTATTGAACTTTCATTGTCTTTCTGCATTATTTTCTTAGTTGTAGTTCGTAATAAAATAGGGTAGTTGACTCTACTTTTCTGGAATTGATAATGTTAGGCGGGAGGCCTTTACAATTTACTGAACTCAGGTCTCGTGGTCGGAAAGCCGTCTTCTTGGCACTGTGACATGCTATTAAATAAACGACTTATTTTTATATTTTAGAATATTCAATTCAAAATCTAATTTAACTATTTATTAACATATCACTAAAACAGAATATTTGTTACCATTATTTAAAAAATAACTACAACCTTAAATTTTCATATAATCTTAGTTCCCCGCGGTATAGTCTAGTCGGTATAGAAAGCTGTCTGCTTACCTCTCTAAATGGCTATGCTTAGCCTTTGAGTATGAAAAGAACCAACCCTCTTATCACCAGCAGCGACATCAAGTCGCAGACAAAGTTTCTTTAGGAACTTTACCGCATGTTGACCGCATGAGTCATCTTTGAGAGACTCATTCATGCGTCACTTAGGTACTCAGTTCAGCCGCCTTCGATGCCGCCCTGGCTCTAAACGTAACTCGTTGAATTAAAGATTGGCAATATGTCTATGCACGTAGCATATCACAACAATGCTTTACCTCTATCCCATGGGACCAAAGTCGTACCGTCGGGTCTCTTGTCATCGTCTTTAAATATTCCACAAGGCGAAGGCCAACCGAGGAAACTTATAGACACAAGAACTCTTCGGATAACATCGTTCAGAGAACCGTGACGACCGGTACAACCTACCAGCCTTTTTCTTACATGAAAGTCTGTGGAGCCTAATCTCGTCAATGCTGCTACCACAAGGACACTGATGCGGTTGACAGATTGTTATTCCTAGTTGGATTCCTATGACTATGCGCAAACTGTCTCCATCAAGAAATGTGCCGAGTAAATCGTGTAACCAGTGGCTACGTTCCGTAGTTGCAACAGCTAGAAGGCGGTCCAGATCTTGGTCACTATGGAAATTATGAAACAAATAAATATTTCTGCACACTACGTACCAACGGAATATCCCACTGTTTTTGTGGGTTATTTTCCAGTGAAATATTTTCGCTGGTAAAAAGCGTCTGCCGTGTGTGTTGACTCCACAGCTAAACACTTTCTCTATTCTCTATTTATTATTTAAAAATTATAACCTTTATGTACACTGACACTATGCACAGAAGAAAGGAAAACGGCAACGCTACAAATAAAAAAAAAAAACAGAAAACAGACGCATTCATAAAATCACTACTAGTGGTAGTAGATTTAAAATATTTATTAGATTATTTTAACTATCAACGTCCACTGCTGAACATATAGGCCTCATATAAGGAATATTTGCGCTTGGCAGGTGTATTTGCAACTGCAGCTTTTTATTCTTAGTTGTTATTAGAAAGTTGCTGCTACCTATCTCCTGATTTTTTCCCTCTGCAGCCTCTTACGGCGCAAATGAGACGATATGGGGTAATGGATATTCTAACAACGGTACTACACTGTCGATATTCAAAAGATATTATTTTATAATTATATAGGTGTCACTGTCATCTGCATTCAATCTCAATTTAAGTCAAAGTTATTTAGCTTGACGTGTTGAAAATGTGCTTCTCCTACATCGGAATTTGCAGGCAAAAATCCAGACATAGAATGTCTAGGAAAGCAGATGAAAACTTCTAGATTGTAGCTAATATGATAAATAGCTCAGAACCAGAAGAAGGAAAACGCGCACGGGACAAAATAAGGTGATGAAACCTCTTACGCTTTCACACTGTTGTTACCTAAATTATTTGCGCTACCAAACGTTATAGAGATATGACAAATTGTAAACAAATATGTGTAAATCTGCATACTTAATATCGAATGTAAATAAACAGCATATAAATTTGGAGGTATATTAGAATGCAGCACTAATGCGCGTAAATTAGCACCACGGAGCTTGTCCGAGAGCTTTCCAATGTCAACGCACAATCCCGCCGCCGCCTACGCAGCCCAGTGCGCACGCACGTGCCTTGATTGACAGTCGGCGTACAAAATCACGCGTATCCACTACATTCGGACGACACGACAAAAGGGCAAATGATTTCAATATTTAAATTAAATATTTGTTTTAAATATAATATAATTGACAGTAAAATTAAATGTTATTTATTATTTTTGTATGTTAGAAATTTTATTTGAATGACAATCGAGTAGTTCACATTCGTTACCTACCTTACGTATTACGTTAATTTTACTAGATATAGTTCTTTACCTAAGTAGTTATACATAATTATCAATCACATAAAAGAGCAGTGATATATGTATTATATTTCAATATCTGGGTAATAAAAAGTTAAGTTAAGCAAGACAAATAAAATAAAAAGCTTATTTGTTTATAGGGATTTTTGATTTGGATCGCCTTTGTGATATACATACCCTGTTTATTACCTTAAAATATCTGCAGTAGGTTTTGTTTTTTTTAGAATAAGGGTAATAAACAAGCGTACAGCCCATCTGA